CTTTTACGGCAATTCACGGGTTGTACCCATGTGGGGAATCGATCCCAGGCATTCGGCGTGACGACCAAACGCTTTAAACCACCACAAGGCAATTCTAAGGGACCGACTATATGAATTTCGTTGAAAATCAATATATTTGCTCTTTTCGACCAACCCCACCGCCAATGACTTTGTCGGTTAAGATTATTTATATAAACAAATGTCAAATCAGGTTAGAAGTGTTGTATATTTCATGCAGGTGTTCACCAGAATAGTCACGTGATGTCATGGTTACGAGTTTAGCCAATCGGGAATCACTTCCGTTGCACGAGTTTTTCCTGCGAGTAATCCAGACTCTGTGGATCGAAGCAGACGACGCTTACTTTTTGTCAAATGCACCGGTGCATGCTAAATGGTATAAAACAAGTTGGTTAGAATTAATTTAAAATCGAGATTACAATGGGCTTAGACTCCTATTTCTCATGTTTATATTATTCACGCGCTACTTTGAACGCTGCGTTTAAACCTTTGGTATGTTGTGATCATTATAAAGACGTTTCACAAAGAAACATTATTCAGCTTGATTTCCTGCCCAGTCGATACAAAACAGCACCAGAGCACCAGGCCGGTAAGAGCGTTTCTCTGTTCTCTGTCACTCTGTGTGTGTGTGTGTGTGTGTACGTGTGTACGTGTGTACGTGTACTTGCGGGAGATTGTCCCATGTCGTCAATGAATGAAGCATATCATTTACTGTAAGAGTACAGCATGTACATAAAACATATTGATTCTAAATTCTGTTTATGTTCTTACACCTATGTCGTTAGTGTTTTCAACTAAACCGAATTACACAATTATAATTATATTTCAACCGTATTACGACGGGAAGACCAAGGATGGGTATCATACATTTACCGCATCAGACGATTGAACGAGTTAGTCTCGTATCTTTATGAATCCTTAATAACGTTGTTTTATTTTCATTTTTAACTAATTAACTATTCTTGTAATGTATTAGTTCCATTTAAGACGCGCCACTTCCAATTAAGATGAATTGTACTTAAATTGTTTCAGCTCAAGTTGATATCCATCCAGATCCCTAGACCTAGGGCTATCGTAAGATTGTCATAAATCGAAGATAGCCCCATACCTGTCGTAAGTTTATGTTATCTTCATCCAAGATGGCGGCATACTTTGCCATTGATATTTTTCAAACAAATAATCTGCTTTACGTTCAAAGATTTCATTTTGTTAAACCGTGTGATTCAAATTGACACTTCGAAAAAAACATCACGTTAGAACGCATCGAAGATATCACGTTAGAAATGTTCCTGATCGCGACAGCGATCCACATAACTATTGAGTCGATAGCTTACAATATATTTCTATCCGAGTCCATGCTGAAGAAGTGTCAAACAACATACTTTTTCGATAATTTGGGAAGGATCAAAACGGAAGGTGTCGGCAGGCTCTATATTAATGACCGTGACCATATTGATAACTCAGGGGCAGGTAATCTTATTGATTTAACAAGGAAATATATGTGATCAAATATGCGTATAGTATATATTTGTATAAAGGGTATATTTAATGTTTTTTTCTAGGAAAATTAATTGTATTTGGTTTCGTTTTCAAAGCAACACCTAGGTTAACTATATTACTGAAAGACAAATATTTGACAAGCGATTAACTATTGTCTATTGAATAATTGCAGCCTTTAAAAACAGGTGATGCCCATGCTCATTCGGGTTTAAAATGTCGTAAATAAGTAACATATTTTTAACATTGTCCAAAATTCACTTTCTAATTTTATTTTCGTAGAAAATGTTTATTTTCAGCACAATACTCTTTGCATTTTGCATTCAGTTTACCGATTTTAAAATTATAATTGTTGGTCTTTTTTAAATTTAAGTGTACATTTACCCGTTTTATATTCGCAAAATATAGATACTTGAGACCATTCAAACAATAATATCCTTGTAAAGGATAGGGTCACCGGACAAATACTATTAATTGACCCTCAGCAATGCTTTCAGACAAGCCAAGCGTCATCGAACTACCTTCTGGAATAGATTTTACACATTGACCATGTAAATATTTCGCTCCTCAGCCAGATATAAATCAAATGAGACAAATCAGTTTATTAGCTCTACTTTAAAAGGCCAGAAAATGACTACATTATATACTGAACAACAAAAGTTCCTGTGATATTGAATAAGATTTAATGCAAAGTTCTGTTTTTTACCAAATCTGAAACAATTTCGGTTTGCAACAGATACAAGACTCCTGTAGATGTTCAAATGGTTTAATTTGCCATACTGACTTCAGAAAATGCGTGATTTCATAAAAAAAACATGAACATGCCAAAATGGAATTTTACAAATCAATAGCGTGTGTGTCCACCTCTGGTTGCGATGCAAGCAACACATCTTCGTCTCATGGAATGAAACAGGCGTCGCACAAAGTCCTGTGAGATATCTGTCCATATCTGCTGGAGAATGTTTCGAAGTTCCTGGAGTGTCTGCGGAACACGTGGTTGACGTCGAAGGCGCCGATCCATCTCATCCCACATGTGCTCGATTGGTGAGAGATCGGGGGAGCGAGCCGGCCAGGGGATGACATTCACGTTGTTTTGTTGAAGAGAATCTTGAACAGGTCGAGCAATATGAGACGTACTTGACGGTGGTTTCCTGTCAAAAGGGGACGTCTGGCGGGTCTTCTGGCGACAATCCCTGCACATCCGAGGCGACGACGTACGGTTTGTGAAGATATTCGTCGAAGGACAGGGATGCTTCTTGCAGTCACTGTTGCTGTCTGGAATCGATTTTGTAGGTGTGTTGTTCGAATCCAGTTGTCTTGTCGATTATTGGTTACGCGTGGCCTGTCACTCCGAGGATGGTCTTCGGTGAATTCGTCTTTTGCCAACGTTGCCATAAACACCAAATGGTGTTTCTGTGGACGTTAAATTGTCTTGTAACATCACGTTGACTCGATCCTGCTTCAAGCATACCAATGCCTCGCAGACGCTCATTTTCGGACAGGTGTGGCATTTCTTTATGTTGAATAATTGCGTAATTTTGATGTTTTTCTGAGTGGTTGTTGTCAGCACGTGATTAAACAATGCATATGGAATCCCGTTAACGCACATGTTTTTATACCCATTCTTGGGTCGTGAAATGCATGGGGCTTGCATAAAAGTCAACTTTTGCATGGAATGCATGCTTTTCTGTAGCAGTTGCGTTTTTTTTTACTTGATTCCATACATGTACTACAATATTGTTAACCAAATATTGGTGTCACAGGAACGTTTGTTCCAGGACGAACATATAGTTTCTTGGGGACATCGCATCTAGGAAGTAGCTGTTGCGGTTCATCTGGCAAGTCAGTGTCGGAGTCCAGAGCATTGACTGGAGCTACTGTTAGCCATTCTTTCATGTAAGGAATATTCTTAGAAAATATCCCTCTATTAGCTTCCTGTATGTTCTCAGCAGTTGCTTGTTTCCATGGCGTGACATCATAGGGGGTAGTCACTTATGATGACTGGCGGTTGTCTTGACATAGATCGATGTGGCCTCTCACGCTTTCAGGCCTCAGTTTGTGTGTTGTTTAACTCCGTACTCAGCAATATTCCAGCTATATGACGGCGGTCTGTAAATAATCGAGTCTGGACCAGACAATCCAATGATTGACGTCAATAGCATCGATCCACGCATTTGGGATCGATGACATGCATCAACCAAGTCAGCAAGCCTGACAAGCCGATCCCGTTAGTCGCCTTTTACGACAAGCATAGTCGCCTTTTACGGCAAGCATACTCTTCTTTCCCTTACACAGACCACACTTTGTGACTGAAATGGTATCATTTCATCTGTGACCTTTACATCTACGGGTGCCCCCCAAGGTCGTGTGCTCTCTCCTGTTTAATTTATTTTACAAACAAATAATTGTGTCAGTAGTTTTAACAATTGTTTAATCGTTATGTTTGCAGATGACACAGCCAGCGCTGTGTCATCTGCAATCTTAACGGTTATACAGCTGTTATAATTTTCTTACTCTAAACGATAAAAATGCAAAGGCAATGATCATAGATTTCTTTGTTGACGAAAATATTGATTTGGTTGAACAATATAAGTATCTTGGCACTATTATTGTTTCGAGACTCACTTGGAATGCCAACACGGAGCATATTTATAAAAAGGATCAAAGGCGATTGTATTTCGTTCGGCGTCTTGGGTATTTTAAACTTGACAATACAAAACTCACACTGTTTTACAGAATATTTATTCAAAACATTTTAGTTTTTAATTTTTACTGCTGATATATGAGACTGTCTGTTGAAATTAATCTAAGAGACATACATTTATAAATACCTAAAGCAAGATTGTTGGTACCCAATTTTATGAGCAGCAAAATGTCAAATAACGGCTGTCATATACATCATTCTGTGTATCAGTTTCTACTTCCTGGCCGCCGACTGCGCATGCCGATGCTGATAACAAACAAGGTCCATAAATTGCTCATACCAGCCAGGATTCGTCTTTTAAATGGTTGTTTTATACTTTTTAACAGTTCGCTTTTATATATATATGATTTTAACTACCATGCCTTGTCGTCACTGTGATAGTGTTCAATTTTCTACATGTTTTTACCTGGGGTTAGATTAGTATCTTATTTTCTTAAGATCATATTTTAATATGTCATATTTCATATTTTAGTTTTTCGTGCTCATCAACTGTGCATTATGAATTTCCCTTGAGATAATAAAGTCTTGTCTTCTCGTAGCAAAAAAAACTATGGGGATCATGAATATTTTTGGGCATATTTATTTGTAGTGAGGACTGTGAACACACTTTCATAAAAATATCCATAAACATATTCATGGGGCCTGAACGGTTTTTGCTCAGTTTTCAACGGTTGCATTGGCCGCGGCATCGACTATTAAGTTACTCAGCCGTCGTGGTTGGCAACCAACATGACGTCATAATGCCACAGTGTCAATTGAAGAAGTGCACCTCGGAAATTCATTTAGTCTTAAGATGTTTATTCAATGAAGAGACCATAGCTCAGCTCACAATAGTTCATGTTATTTCAAATATAAAAAGTAACATACATGTAAAATTACATAAATATAGTATTTTACAACATTAACACATACGCAAAATCAATGATAATTGTTATTATCGATATGTCCCATTTACATCGAACTATGTCCAAATATATACATATATATATCTGTTCTGAAGAAACCCCCAGCAGTCGGGCACTTTGAATGAGTTCCGCAAACATTGAACCGTAAACATTCGTGACCTTCCGTTCCATACCGGAATTTGACGAATGATAGCGGAAGCTTGAATACACTTGTGGTAGCACTGTTCGTCATATCCATAAAAGTATTAACACAATAAATAGTATATGTGTTAAACCATCTTGTTTTATTTCAAGCTGACTTCGATATACTTGTTGGCTACGAGGGGAACGCGGGTGGCCAAGATGATATTCACTGTGCAGAGTTGTGTCCTTTAGACACCCGTGATTGTGGGTTCGAATCCAGGATACGCACTTATTGTGTTTTACGAAAGTGGCCTAAGACCTACATCACAAAAAAATAATGATAATAATGATGATGATGACAATAGTAAATGTATTTATATAGCTCATCGTTTATCTATATATTCTCTGTGCACTTCTGTGAAATGTCACCAGTAGTGGGTTATGAATCGTAGGTTCTTGATTGAAAGCGTCATTTCACTTGATAGCTTCATTGTAAGAAAAAGTTATTTTGTCAAACAAAGATTTCACAGCTGGGAGTAACTGATCACGTGACCCTTAGTGAACGAGTGGTTTGATACAAGGGAAGCAACTCAGAAAGGTAGGTCGGGTACTTGAGACAATTGTCGACCTTGACCCTGGGAGATATTGGCACCCAGTGTGACTCCCGAAGGACCGGAATGATATCATCGTATGTTCTGGTGATGGTTCTCAAGCGGTGTACTGAAGTACTTGAGGACGACGAACTTGATCTGGTTTGATGTTTGCAAGGAGGCACTTGCAATAATCGATAATGACATCACACGAGAGAGAAGTAGTTTTGTCGCGCCTCAGAGACTTCGGTATCCATAACGTATTCGATGAGCCTTCGGGCTTCCCACTTACATCAAGCTGACATGCTGACATATAATATGACTGGTAAACATTTCATTTTAAATCCAACTCACTCACTCACTCACTCACTCTCTCACTCACTCTTATGTACGATAAACCCAACTTCAAAAGTTCAAAGCAAAACCACGTCGTCTCGTCTCTGCGTCATCTTCCGTCGGCTTTCGAGATTTCACGGAAACAGTCGATCAATGGCGGAAGGAAACCAGCACCGCCAGGCCGCTCGTGACAAAGGTGAAGAATGATGTTCCAAGGTGCAGAGACGGTTGTCCGTTATAGCCACTTTCTAAATTTCAAACAAATTTATACCCATTAGAAGCTATAAGAGTTTTTATGAACCATATTCAAACTTGATGGTTCATTTATTTGATAGGTAAGGACTATTTTATGTCTACTATATAGAAATGGAATGCATATGCGAATATAATATAAGGATGTGCAAATACGGGAAATGTTATTTATATTATTATATACAGGAAAGGGACCATGAATATTATTGGGGATATTTTTATGAAACTGTGTGCTCAGTCTTCCCTGGAAAAAAGCTGTCCCCAAATATTCATGATCCTTAACTTTTTTCGATCAGTATATGTACAATTTTACTTACGATCGCTTCTGCAGTAGCCGCATGACTGTGCACAGTTTTCGCGCATGTAATTGACAAACATGTCAGTGCAGTAACCTCGACCTTGCCAGTAGTTACAGTTGGTGTTCATATCGTCACACGTTGCCACTGAATAAAAAGAGGGGATGTTTCATGTGATGTTTACACTTAACTCATCCTACAACATAAATACAAACAAACCGAACCAACCAACTGTAGGCCATCGTCCTCAGCTTAGAACATATTTGGACCGCCTCCGTGGTCAAGTGGTAGACCGTCCGCCCGGAGAGCGGTAGGTCCGGGGTTCGATCCCCGGCCGCGTCATACCAAAAGACGTTAAAAGATGGTACTAGTTGTTACCCTGTCTGGCGCTCGGCATTAAGGGGCTAAAACAAGGACTGGTCGGCTCGGAGTCAGAATACTGTGTCTGAATCGGGTATTCATGTTAAACTGCGGCATGGTATCTCAGTGAGCTAGCACTATAAATCGGCATCAGTCTGGACTAGTACAAGCAGCCACACACACTCACACACACACACGTACATGCACGTCGCTATATAGGTGCAATAATCTTGGACGCGACGTTAAACCCCATTTCACCTCACCACCCATAGAACATATTTACTTATGTTTGCGCATTTTCGGATTTTGTTTGTTTGTTGTTTAACGCCGCTCTCAGCAATATTCCAGCTATATGACGTCGGTCTGTAAATTATCGGACCAGACAATGCAGGTATTGACATCAGGAGCACCGATCTACGCAATTCGGATACGATGACATGCATCAACCAAGTCAACGAGCCTGCACCCCCCCTCCGACCTCTTCAGTCGCCTCGTACGACAAGCATAGTCGCCATTTACAGCAAGCATATGCATGGGTTGCTGAAGACCTATTCTACCCCGGATCTTCACGGGTCCAATGTGTAGGCAATTGTCTTATAGCCTATATGGTAGTTACAGGTTTCAGAAGAAACTATACTGTCCGACTGACATTCTCACGTAAACTATTAATGTGTACATTCCAGGAAAACTTGACGTTCTTGTGGCGAACAAGTACATTTTCATTTCGTGGAAGTTTTTTTAATAGATTTGTAATAACTTACTCATGACACTCACCTTTGTCACAGACGTTGCAGGCCTTCTGACAGTACACCGTCATGTAGCCGGGATTTCGCTGACACTCCCCACGGTCTGCCCAGGCAACACAGTTGGCGTTCATGTTCACGCACGTCCCCGTCACTGAAACAACACACAGTATATGATGTTTGTTCATTTGTTTATTATTTGTTGTTTAACGCCACAATAATCAAGCTATAGGACTGCGGTTTGTCATAATTGAGGCTGAACCAGACAATTCAATGACTGATATCATGAGCAACGATCTACCAAAATGGGATACGATGACATGCCTCAACCGAATCAGCGAGCCTGACCACCCGTTAGCCTCTTACGACAAGCATAGTCGCCTTTTACGGCAAGCATGTGTTGCTGAAGACCTATTCTACCCCGGATATTCACGGGTGCAGTACATGATGATATCTCGGCAGATGGACGCTTGTGACGCTGGTTGTCCTCGTACGTAGGTCTGCTGGATTTGGCGTCCGTGTGCCTGGATGCCCAGTCGTTCTGACATGACCCATAATTAGATGTCCTCTGATCGTTGTATAGCGGAAACTAAGATATGATTGTATTGAGATTGCCTGTTGACCACCAAAGTGTCATATTTGGTCATTTCCTCTGAACCCACCTGGTGCTTGCGTGACACTGCCGCCGTCTCCACCATCTCCGCCGTCCCCGTTGCCGATGCCGCCGCCGTCACAGTGTTGAACAGGGCTGTTACCAGTGCCGCGGCACCAACACTTGCAGTCTTTGCCAACAAACCCCTCGCGATTGCTAGGACAGCTAGCGTCCGTGATGCCCGTGCAAGACTCTGGAATAAGGAAGATGACCTTAAGATACGAATTGTGCATGTGACGGGGGCACAGAATATCGTTTTGTCACTTATTCGAACGTACGTATGTTTCTCTCGAAGGAGGAGCCAAACGACTTTTGGAGTGAGTGAGTGAGTCATCGTGCCCTCAACATTTTTTTCAGGGCATTAATTCAACAATTATTCTGTACGACCTGTGGCCAAATTACTATTTTCTGGAACAAAATTATTTTAAGGTTTGGATTGAGTCAGGCATGCCCTTCATGATGCGTCAGGATATACAGTCAGAGCTTGTCAATCTGGAAAACCCGTCTCGTGGACAGTTACTGTTATACTGTATATTATACAAACACAGAACGATATAAACTGCCCGGCATGTATACAGTATAAAATTAGATGTGACCAAATAATTACAAACGTTATCAAAATTTCATAATTCCTTGGCTGAAAACAGTCCTGGATAAATTTACAAACTTAAGGTCCAATCATATGACTATCATACCGTATATACCGAACAGCCATGTCTTGTTTGTTTCAGTTTAGCCACCAGCAAACAAGGGTGTATACTTTCTTTTGCCCTGCGGTTTACTTCTCCCAATTTGCATATTTTATTGGGGAGAGTCCGGTTTCATGGGGTGTCATTGTATGTCGACAATTAGTTCACTGTATATTGCTCTTTATACCATACATTGCCCTAACAATATGCACTAGGTCGCTTCCCACATTTCCTGTATCGTATGGTTGACACAGGACGTATTGGTGTGAATGACGCATGCACCGCACATTGTGTTGCACTGGCTGAAGTTCACATGACGTATTGTTGTGAATGACGCATGCACTATACATTGTGTTGCATTGGCCGAGGTCCAAGCTATGTACCTGAGCAACTGTACATTTTGTTGGCGAGTTTGATATCTCGGAAACTGTGGCCGCGTCGGTTGCCGATCCTGTCCTGAAACTGCTGATCAAGGGTCTCAATGGTACGCCGACCATTCACGGTGAACGCCTGAAACATTGAAGGAGAGTGAGTGAGTGAGTGAGTGGGTCGGTGGGTGAGTGAGTGAGTGAGTGAGTGAGTGAGTGAGTGAGTGAGTGGGTGGGTGAGTGAGTGAGTGAGTGAGTGAGTGAGTGAGTGAGTGAGTGAGGTCATCGTGTCCCGGCATTCACCAATGCCGATGATATGGACCACAGGTGTTTTGTCCGGATTCGAACACGTAAGAGCCACCTATATAGATATGTTATGGCTGACTGTGACATAATATCCGTCAGGTAAAACGTCACTGGTCATCCACGAGCACACCATTCCATCCATTCCGTAATCACCACACCACCCAACTACACAGACCCCCGGAATTACATTCGATTGACAGTAATGAGTGTATGACTTGATCTACCCCGTGGAACTTCCTGGATGGACTTGGCCAAATCAGGCCAGTTGTACGTGTCATTAGACGGCGTGTTCATAATATCAACCCCCTGTCTGGTGCACGACTCGATTTGTACTGACCGCAGTGATATAGCTGGAATCTTGCTGAGAGAGGCGTAAAACAACATGCAACAGAAAAATGACGTGCCATTCCGTGAGTACGTCTTACCGTGCTGCCGTAGTGCATGATGCTGCTGAAGTCGTAAGGGACGCCGAAGTCGTCAATGACTGCTGTGGAGTATTTTTGGAAGTTGAAGAACACATTTGGGGGAATGTTCTCCCGCAGAATCCGCACAAAGCGGTCCCGGTCTGGCCTCGTCTGTTCGTGGTGGAACCCGACGGCGTGTCCGATCTCATGAATAATTGTACCCTTCTGGAAGAGAGAAATAACTACTTTAAACTACGGTTATAACGAACTCAAAGGGACCACTAACAAAAGTTCGTAATAACCGTAGTTCGTTTTAAGCATATATACAGCATATATACAAATGGCCGGGACTAAATTAAGTTCGTTATATCGGTAAGTTCGTTATAAGCGTGTTCGTTATAAACATAGTTTACTGTACTTTTGTTGGACTCTTCTTGGCCCCATCGTGCAACGTTTATTGCACGTGTCACTTAACAGTATTTAGGGGGGCACGGGTGGCCCAGTCGTCTAAGGCGTCTGAGGCGCCGCGATTCGCTGTGCAGAGTTGCGTCCCTTGGGCACGCCAGAAACCTATGATTGTGGGTTCGAATCCCGGTTCGCCCCGATTATGTTTCTAGGTTTGTCAGCACCATACCCGTGCTCATGGGTTTCACCGAACTGGTAAACGTCTGAGACCTGCATCACTTCGGGCTTTCCTCACACATTAAGCTGACACGCCGTGATATAACTGGAATACTGTTAAAAGCGGCGTAAAACCCAACTCACTCACTCAGTAACAGTATTTAGCACTGGTGTTGTTCGGAATGGTATGGAAACCAATATGAAATTATATCCAAATTATTTATTTTCTTCCATTAAAGAAAACCCGGTTAATCTGAAACTGCCGATCCAAGTGAAATCGTTCGGATCATTAAAACACGCTCCAGACCAACATCCCACTGTATATAATAATGAAGAGGGCCCCGTAAGTTCATGTTTGGGAGATTTCCATACCAACGGGTTTCCATTGTAACAAGATTGTGATGTGTAAATTTGGTTTCAATGGGTACAAACAGCAGGGCGGACGTTAGTCTGTCTTACAGACCCTGATACAAATATATATCAAATACAGCCCATGCAAGTCTATAATGTTTGGCAAGTCTAGATCACTGCAGTATCACTGCACTGAAAATGAAGAGTGTCACTGGGCTCCTTTTTATTATTACTGAACAACTGTTTTTTTTATGTACGATATGTTCATTTCAGAGACTAGATTTTAGTCTAGGCGGACGTCGGCGTTCATACATTTGATAAGTGAGTGGGGTTTTAATTTACAGGATAATTCTGTTATACAAAGCCATTTAGCAGTCACGCAGAACGTTAACCGCTTGGATGAAAGAGACAGGGTCATCAACAGCCCAGGATCAGGGATTCGAACCCACAATCTGTATCATTTGAGGGACTTGAACCAATTGGCGTCAGGTTGCGTCGCGTTTGTTGTTTAACGCCGCACTCAGCAATATTCCAGCTATATGACGGCGGTCTTTAAATAGTTGTATCTGGATAAGACAATGCAGTGATTGACATCATGAGCATCGATCTGCGGAATTGGGATACAATGACATGCATCAACCACGTCAGCGAGCCTGACAACCCTATCCCGTTAGTCGCCTCTTACGACAAGCATAGTCGCCTTTTACAGATTGCTAAAGATCTATTCTACCCCGAATCTTCACGGGTCAATTGGCGTCAAGAGGTCAAACACGTATAAGTTACTTTTTCAATATTATTATGTGAACACTGTTCATGTTTCAAACTTTACGTTACGTTTTTCGTGTTGTTTTTTTCGAAAAATGAGCTTTAACACAACGAACCTGTCTGCAACCTCTCGCGAGAGTGATGGCCTGAGAACCACGCCCAAGCATTCCCACAAACGAGGAACAACTGAAATGAAGACCACATATACGTTATAATGAAGGACAACTGTAATCTCGTGAAGGACAACTGTCATCTCGTGAAGGACAACTGTAATCTCGTGAAGGACAACTGCGATCTCGTGAAGGACAACTGTAATCTCGTGAAGGACAACTGCGATCTCGTGAAGCACAACTGTAATCTCGCGAAGGACAACTGATCTCGTGAAGGACAACTGTGATCTCGTGAATGACAACTGTGATCTCGTGAAGGACAACTGTGATCTCGTGAAGGACAACTGTGATCTCGTGAAGGACAACTGTAATCTCGTGCATGACAACTGTGATCTCGTAAAGGTCAACTGTGATCTCGGAAAAGGCTACTGTGATCCCGTAAAGATTAACTGATCTCGCGAAGGACAACTGTGCTCTCGTAACGAATAAATGGGATCCCGACGACTGTGATACATTTCCCTAAAGAACATCTTTTGGACCTCGTCTACGATAACTGACATCATTTCTAGGACAACTCTACCATTCACCCCGCAACTGTTGAATAATCCGCGACTAGGTATTATGCCATATCTATCGGCAACTGTGGCACATTCACCGATGTGTATTGTATATTCGGCGAGAAAAATGACATTCACCGACAAATGTAATATTCACCGTCAACTGTGACATTTACCGTCAACTGTGACATTCACCGACAACTGTGACATTTACCGTCAACTGTGACATTCACCGACAACTGTAACATTCACCGTCAACTGTGACATTTACCGTCAACTGTGACATTCACCGACAACTGTAACATTCACCGTCAACTGTGACATTTACCGTCAACTGTGACATTTACCGTCAACAGTGACATTCACCGTCAACTGTGACATTCACCGACAACTGTGACATTTACCGTCAACTGTAACATTCACCGTCAACTGTGACATTTACCGTCAACTGTAACATTCACCGACAACTGTGACATTTACCGTCAACTGTGACATTCACCGACAACTGTGACATTCACCGACAACTGTGACATTCACCGTCAACTGTGACATTTACCGTCAACTGTGACATTCACCGACAACTGTGACATTCACCGACAACTGTGACATTTACCGACAACTGTAACATTCACCGTCAACTGTGACATTCACCGTCAACTGTGACATTTACCGACAACTGTGACATTCACGACAACTGTAACATTCACCGTCAACTGTGACATTCACCGACAACTGTGATTTTATTACCTGAATCCTGACACCCACAACTTGGGTCCACATTGGAAAATTCTAAGAGCTGACAACTCCATCTTTTAAGCCGTGTATCGCATCAACTGAGCTAACTTACCCGCCGCCATCTTGGAATCTGACTCGGTTCCCAGTCGAACTGGCTCGAAACGTGATGCACGTGTACATCTCCCAATCATCAATGGCGTTCTGGATCTGTTGTCGCTCCCTGGTACCTGACAACAAACAACACATCACATTGTTTTCGTAACGACACAAGTACAGCAAGCACAACTGAAACCACCCGCTGACTAGGTGATTTGTCATAACTTGTCACAGACTCTTTATAAACTAGTTTCAGGCCGGTCAGCTGTCATGGCACTATTGATTCTAGCTATTTAAACACCCTCTGTTTGTCTGGCAACTCAATGTAAACCAGCTGCCATCATTACACAGACACAAGGTTCTTAGTTTCAGACTGTGTGCCAATTACACAGTCTGAAACTAGAAATAGGCACCAAAGGTGGACACTGTACCTTTTCGGGTCGACCCGTGAAGATCCGGGTCAGATTAGGTCTTCAGCAACCCTTGCTTGCCTTCGTAAGAAACGACTAACAAGATCGGTCAGGCTCGCTGACTTGGTTGATGCATGTCATTGTACCCTAATTCCGTAGATCGATGCTCATGATATCAGTCACTTTAATGTCTGGTCCAGACTCAATTATTTACAGACCGCCGTCATATTGCTGGAATATTGCTGAGTGCGTCGTTAAGCAACAACAAACAAACAAACAATCAAAGTATTCGTCAGGTCAGGGGCCAGTGTCAGTACGAAACACGTGTTGCTGTTTTTCATTTAGTTGTGTGTGAGTGAGTTGGGTTCAACGCCGCTTTTAACAGTATTCCAGTTATATCACGGCGTGTCAGCCTAATGTGGGAGGAAAACCCGAAGCTATGCAGGTCTCAGACGTTTACCACTTTGGTAAAACCGCATCTTCCCGAGGCAAGAGCGTCCAATAGCCTTTTTATCAAAGTCTTGTTTCCACTAGAAACTAGGCTTGGGTATAGGCTAGTGGACATGCTTGCCTCTGGAAGATGGAGAAACCCACGAACACAGGTAGGGTGCTGACAAACCAAGAAACATAATCAGGGCGAACCGGGATTCGAACCCACGATCATAGGTTTCTGGCACATCTAAGGGATGCAACTCTGCACAGCGAATTACAGCGCCTCAGAAGACTGGGACAGCCCCAGTTACTAACGCATCTGTTAACAATCACTATTTTTTTAATAACATCTAACATTACAACAACATACAATTAGATAAAAACATGATATATTATAATATTAAAATACATATACAGTGGAATCGTAATTAAAGGTGTGCGGTGACGATTGAATACAGGTAGTCATGTGTCATCTTATAAGTGTCCGGTATATTAGGCCCACTTGTTCTTGAATGAAATTCTGCTTAAATGCGAACACACAGTACTATATCATAGATAATGGCAGCATAAACGCTCACTAAATGTATTCGGCGCAATCTCGTATGGGATTGCCTTCGATGTCCAGCGCAGTCGCGCGTTCCGAACGGCTTTCCGCTTCACTCGGCTGTTTCCGCTGGTTTTGTTTCTGACAGAGAGAGAGTAGCAATAGTCAGAACAAACAGCTATAAATAAATTTCCCCTAGTATTTGCAAGCACAGTCTCAATTCTAACGTAGACACCAGGCGGTGGAATGATTTTTTATAATTTCCCTTACACTGATATTAATTGTCATATTTTGTAAGAAACGGATTCAAATGTTAAAATAATCTACTTTATGTTACTACCCCTACAATCACCATAATCCTTATGACTCAACAACAACAACAATAATAATGATCATAACCATAATCATAATAATCATAATCATCATCAAATTATTCCTTCTCGCAAGTACACCCGGCATACATAATACCATGCATCACACGAGCGTTATTCTATGACCCAGAAACACTTCACAATAATTACGAATCAACAAAAAATGTAAAAGAAGTTATACATTTGCTCAAATGAATTAAATATGAATTGTTATAATCAATAACATAATAAATCGCATGCCCTTACAGTTTGATTAGGTCCCGCCACTGGTCTAACGTGAACTTCATGTCCAGCTCCACCTGAACCACGCCGTTGGCCTCATCCATGAACTCGAACTGCGCACCTGCAAAGACATGGGAGGGAGTGATCGTGAGCTCAATACAGCACAGGGGCACGAGTGGCCCAGTCGCTCAAGGCGTCGCAATTCGCTGTACAGAGTTGCCTCCCTTTGGCATGCCAGAATACTATGATCGTGGGTTCGAATCCCGGTTCGCCCCGACTTATATGATGAACTCATGGAAGATTGAGCCTTGCCTCATAAGAATGCATTGGTGGTTGAGTAGGGCCGACACCTCTTTGAACAGTATTTCAGTTATGTTAAGGCGTGCCGAACGAGCAAGGATGTGGTGCTGACAAACCAGGATATACAATCTTGGATTCGAACACAGGGCCATACGTTTCTGGCACGCCTAGGGACCAGATTCTTCACAGCAAATTCCGATGGGCATAGATGAATGGACACCCTGAGCCCTGATACCTCCCGTGTTGGGTCGATCCAAACTAAAGCAGAGTAAACTAAATTCTGGAAGCCCCACGTGTGCTTAAATGTGTACCTGGAGTCATTTGTATATATTATCTACTTATTCAAATATACACTAAACTACGTTTATAACGAACTGACGGATATAGCGAACGTATTTTTTTTGTCCCGACCTTTTGCTGTACATATGCTGTATATGCTTATAACGAACGACGGTTATAACGAACTAAAATAAGTGGTCCCTTTGAGTTCGTTATAACCGTAGTTTACTGTATATACAGTGAAACCTCACCAAATCGGAAACCCTGCATTACGGACGAGTATTGCTTGATCCATGCATACAGCACCTGAGTGGTTTTGCAAAGTAGTCCTCATTAATTATTCAGAACTCGGGACCATGTTAAGAGGAAAACTATAGATAAGCGGGGTTCCACTGTGGTGAATCCCTATCTGAGATTTAGACACTATGATGTTGACAGGGTGAGAGTAGGGTAATCATTCGGGTCTACAAACTGGACAAACATTTTGGACTCTATAATACTACAACAGCGACCTTTCGGTACAGATCCTATCACCGTTTAATATAGAAGTTCTTATCCATAATGTATTGTGTCTAATTTGTCAGCTGTCAACTTCCAAGCATCTTCCCGAGGCAAGGGAAATAACTGACTGTAAAAGTCCAGTTTCCACCCTTGCCGGACCAGGCTGGAATTACATTTTGGCTAGACTAACGAGTCTATGCGTAGTCCAATCAAAATCGCGTAACGAACTAGACATCCGGTTCTTAAACAACATGGCTTTCGGTCGACTGAAAGATTTGCCAACTGGGGGTCGATAGATATTTGGAAATCTGTTCATGTTTTTAATCAAGGTGTTCACGTAGTTTGATGCACTTCGCGAGGTAAGACCCGCTTTATTACAATAAAGATCTTGATTATTGATCAGATCGTCTTCACTGGGCGCCGTCATTTTGTTTGAAGCAATTTAATAGATATGAGAAGCGGAATCTGATCAATTAATAAGAGGTACATAGAAGGGACATTGTGAAATTAGATTTCTTACTTGAATTAGCTGCGTTTTGAATAATCTGATCCATGGTCAAGGATGACACGCTGCTCAGAATCTGGAAAAGACAATGGTCAGAATGTAAACACAAATAAGTATTCAGGTTGTCATCTATCTGACAACGCTGGACAACGCTGAACACAGATTCGGGGGTGGGGGGCATCTATGCCACGTCCCCTCACGCTCCCATCCCACCATCACTCCACCCTCCCCTTTATGACAAAAGACCCGTGAAGATTCGGGATAGAATAGATTTCAACAACCCATGCTTGCCGTAAAAGGCGACTATGCTTGTCGTAACGGGATCGGGTGGTCAGACTCGCTGACTTGGTTGATGCATGTCATCGTATCCCAATTGTGTGGGTCGATGTTAATGGTGTCAATCACTGGATTGTCGGGTCCAGACTCGATTATTTACAGACCGCCATCATATAGCTGGAATATTGCTGAGTGCGGCGTTAAGCAACAAACAAACAAACAAACAAACTTTATGACAAAAAAAGATAGAACCATAATTGTATAGCAGCGTATATTGCTATTTACAAAATAATTAGTGTAAGTACTGTGATATACAGGGGAAATGTCATGTGTCGAGTGAAGTATCACGTTTTTTTCATCGAGTTACGGGGATACGAAAATATCTTCTTCCCCTCGCCAGTTGTTGTTACGAGTCATCCAAACAACAAGTACACTCTTCAAAAAAAAAACCTATTTTAGTATGACGCGGCCGCGGATAGAACCCCGGACCTTCCTGCAGTGAAATATCACTTTCCTGAAAATATATTGTACATATAAACAATTTCTACATTAGTGAAACTAATCTCACCTGTATAAATGAAATGACGGCGAGAAAAGAGGCAAACTTTGTAGACGCCATGTTGAATATCACCATCACAAATCTAGTCTGGTAAGAATCGTTGTCCCTGGTGTTATATATAATACTGCTACTCGTTTCCTGTCTTCTGTCCGGTTAACTGAAGTGCAATGTGTCATCTGAACATATCGTGCCCCCTGACCAACCCTTGGGTGACAATTCACTTCCTTATTGGTCACGTGTACGGACGTACTTCCAAATATGGAAATTATTAAACACTGTGTGAACACACGACACCATTAAACTTTCATGACGAAATGTCAGTTGTGAGAACAGCGACAAACGTGCCAGTGACTAGGCACAATTAGGTGATGATTTTGCTTCAAAGAGTAAATCTGTAACCTAAACGAGAGCAGTCGTGACCTGAACAACTTGGATGGTGTGGTTACTTCATCACGATAACGAACGAGGTGACCTTCGGGAAGATGACATGCATGATTTAAGTGAAATGAGACGAGGAAGAACGTGTGACTGAAGTCGTGCAAAAAAGGTGTTAATGAATAAAATCAAACTGTTTATATTTCGCGAAAAGACCCTAAGCCGCAGAGGTCAACATGCATAGGTCTGAGAATTGATGTCCCGACTTTCCTCGATAAAATCTTCACCATTCATATCTCCAAGGTTAGAAGACACTGTGAAAGGCGTCAGCAACGCCTCTTTCAGACCCCGGTTTTAGATATCTTCGAAGTGAGAAAGTGAGTGATAGTGATCATGAGTGAGTGAATGAGTGAGTGATCATGAGTGAGAGAGTGAGTATGGTTTCATGGGCGGAAACAGAAGGGGGGTGGGCCCCCCCCCCCCCCCCCCCCCCCCTTTTATTTCGAAAAAAATCTTTATTTCTGTATAAATTACCATCAAAGACAATAAATAGATCTTAATTGTGCATAAACACCCCCCCTCCCCAGCCACCCCCACCCCCCCCCCCCTCCCATCCCCTCGATTATTTACAGACCGCTGTCTAATAGCTGTAATATTGCTGAGTCCGGCGTTAAACAACAAACAAACATAAAGCTTGGGTATTTCCTGGGTTTTCTAGTCAATAAATACATTTGCAGTTTATTTAACACGTTAAAGGACCTTCTCACACAGTGTTACGTTAAAAAAGGTTTATAATATTATTTCAATGATGATAAAAAAAACATTCCCCTATTTGTCCAGTTCACCGATCATCAATTCCGACACAATCGCCTGTAGACAAAGGCGACGCCATATTGGTATGTGACCGCCTCCGTGGTCTAGTGGTAGAGCGTCCGCCCGGAGAGCTGAAGGTCCAGGGTTCGATCCCCGGCCGCGTCATACCAAAAGACGTTAAAAGATGGTACTAGTTGTTATCCTGTCTGGCGCTCGGCATTAAGGGGCTAAAACAAGGACTGGTCGGCTCGGAGTCAGTATACTATGTCTGAGTGGTGTATTCATGTTAAACTGCGGCATGGTATCTCAGTGAGCTAGCACTATAAATCGGCATCAGCCCCGACTAGTACAAGCAGCCACACAAACACACACACGTACATGCACGTCGCTATATAAGTGCAGTAATCTTGGACGCGACGTTAAACCCCATTTACACCATATTTGTATGTAAACGAGGCAACCCTTCAGGAAATGATATACACAAAGACATATCCCATGTTGCTAAATAAATGTAAAATGAATAAATATTGGATTTATTCTGATTAAATGTTCAGTAGTGACAACACCCCGATATTCGTTATAATACATCCGCGTGGATAATGCTGTGAAACATGACACAAACATGTTGAACAAACAATAACAAAATGCCATGAAAAGAGGGTTCCTCATAACAAGCGTTTATCAAAGGTAAGCATGTATGATCAGTGTTCACAAATAGGAGCTAAACCTGCCGTGTTTTGAAACTTGATGTTGTCCCTCGGTTCCAAATTAAAATAAAACACAGTTAGTTTATCTCTATGTCTACCATGACTGCAAGAGTGCTTTGAAAACGGTGCTCTCTTACGCACTTAGCGATATTACAGCAATATGACGGCGGTCTGTAAATAATCGAGTCTGGACCACACAATCTAGTGATTGATATCATGAGCATGCTAGAACGTCATAGCCTATCGTCGCCAAAGACATACGGTATAGCCTGTATAAGACACTCAGCTGTCTATGAATTTGACCCGGCGTGTATTAGAGGTCTGGCTTGTATTAGAGACCCAGCGTGTAATAGAGGAAATATCCATACGTTTTACAATTCCTATGGGTGATTGATTGGCTGCCATTTTTTATGAATCGGCATATAGGCTTTAGATGTATTCATACGCACGTTTTGTGTGTGAAAAGGCTTAATATACTTAATAGAAGTTTCCAAGCAAAAATGAAACCTGTATTTTACCAATCAAAATCAAGCAAGCTTCAATGTCTCGGTAGAATATACGGGGGCGTGTTCCTGCCATCCCTCCCATAAGAAACCTTTTGGCACAGACGCACACGTTTCTCGCCCTTAGCAACCATCCAGGTCAGAGACCGCCTCCGTGGTCCAGTGGTAGAGCGTCCGCCCGGAGAGCGGAAGGGTGGGGTTCGATCCCCGGCCGCGTCATACCAAAAGACGTTAAAAGATGGTACTTGTTGTTACCCTGTCTGGCGCTCGGCATTAAGGGTCTAAAACAAGGACTGGGCGGCTCGGAGTCAGTATACTGTGTCTGAATCGGGTACTCATGTTAAACTGCGGCATGGTATCTCAGTGAGCTAGCACTATAAATCGGCATCAGTCCGGACTAGTACAAGCAGCCACACACACACACGTGCATGCTCGTCGCTATAAAAGTGCAATAATCTTGGACGATTTTCTTGAAATTTATTTCGGGCGTGTAGACCAATATCTGATTGGTCCACCATGTTGGCCGACACACACGCGACACCATCATGGCATACTGTTCAGTGACTTGTGTATGCTTGCCCTTGGTATTGCCTTCCATTCCGCCTGAAGAGCTACCTCTGGGCCACGTTGGCGGGTGCTAGGTATCTGGTGTACACTCTATGCCCGAGAAAATCCCACATATGCTCTCTTGGGGACACGTCAAGGGACCAGTCCAAAGTCCATGTGTCCTTTCGTCGTGGAATAATCCACGAAGACCTGGGAACGATGTGGTTTGGAATTGTCATCCTGCTATTCAAAAATTTTAACGATACTTTCAGCGAATGGCCGCAACATTTTGTCACCACACCGCTGGCAGGTGAAATGTCCCTTCACAATAACTAAATCAGGTCTCCTTCAGTGTGTGATACCGTCCCATACCATGACACTACCGCCCCTATACCGATCATGCTCGCCGCTACGTCGCCAACAATGTTTTCTGCCATCCTTGAATCGGAGGCAAAACTTTGTATCGTCTGTAAAAAAGGTGTAAAATGATTGACGCATCGCCCGTACCTTGCGTTGCCTGGCCCATTCAATCTTTGCCCACCCGTGAAGATCAGGGTCAGAAAAGGTTTTCAGGAACCCATGCTTGCCGTAAAAAGCTACTACGCTTGTCGTAAGAGGCGACTAATGGGATCGGGTGGTCCGACTCGTTGACTTGGTTGATGCACGTCATCTTATCCCAATTGCGTGGATCGATGCTCATGATGTCAATCACTGGACTATCTTATCCAGACTCGATTATTTACAGACCGCCATCATATAGCTGGAGTGAGTGAGTATGGTTTTACGCCGCTTTTAGCAATATTCCAGCAATATCACGGCGGGGGACACCAGAAATGGGCTTCACACATTGTACCCATGTCGGGAATTGAACCCGGGTCTTCGGCATGACGAGCGAATGCTTTAACCACTAGACTACCCGACCGCCCCTCATATAGCTGGAATATTGCTGAGTGTGGCGTATTTATTGATAACAGGAACAGATATGAATCTGTTGCGAAGTAAGAGTGATGTAATGAGACGGCTTTGTCTTGGTGTCGTTTTTAGGCACGCCACGTCTCATTGCTTTATGGGCGGTCGGGTAGCTTAGTGGTTAAAGCGTTCGCTCGTCACGCTGAAGACCCGGGTTCGATTCCCGACATGGGTACAATGTGTGAAGCCCATTTCTGGTGCGCCCGCCGTGATATTGCTGGAATATTGCTAAAAGCGGCGTAAAACCATACTCACTCACTCATTGCTTTATTTGTTTCTCTGTTGTTTATTTTAATGTTAATATTGTACGAGTAAGTCCTGGTAGTATATATGTAATGCAAGTGCATGTGTACCTGATCTTATCCATAGTTGTCTTTTTGCCTAATGATATGCACTTTATTGAAACATGTTTTCATATATAATGTTTTAAATTCTGAACGTTTTAACTTTAAACGTGTATAAATTCAAAACATATTTCAACTTTTTAAAAGTTTAAACATGTTCAAACATGTTTTGACTTTTTTATATTCTGAACTAATTATGGATATGTTGCGTATAGGTGGTGTTTAGACTGTGAGGTGATAGTTCATTTCATGTATAGACCTAAATGCGTTTAGATACAACACATTTTTTACAGTGTGGAGCTTCACTTCACCTCGTTTTATACCGTATACATACATTCTGTACAGGGGCGTCGGGGAGCCTTGTGGTTAAAGTGTTCGCTCGTCACGCCGAAGGGACGGGTTCGATTCCCCACATGGGTACAATGTGTGAAGCCCATTTCTGGTGTCCCCTGCCGTGATATTGCTGGAATATTGCTAAAAGCGGCGTAAAACCATTCTCACTCACTCATATTCGGTACATGGAATTCATCCTCCACACGAGATACGTCAAGATCAAAGTAAACTGAGGAGAAAAAGAAACTATACCTCTCAGCTGATTTTATCATATGTTTGATTATAACTTTAAAATATCTTAAGTTAGAGATTTTATATCCAAAACAATGAACTGTGCTGACGTTTAGTCAGCACTCAAAGAATACTACTACATGGTTTATGTTTTAAGATTTTATTTAATTAAAAACTTTAAAAAAATTAAAACATGGATTCGCCTAATAAGCAACTGTTGATGGATATTTTAGAAATCAATAAAGTACTTTTTTCGGCTCAAATTTACAACATTTCAAACATGGAAGGGTTAAGTGGATTCAAATTCATTTCTTATCCCAGTCTTCATTGAAACAATTTATTTG